ATAATTTTATCCTTCTAGAGCACATCAATTTGCTAGTCAGTGGTTCATGTATCAAAAAGCATTCTGTGAAAATATCAGTATCATTGGTTAATATAAATGAAATTAATTTTTAAAGCTGGGCTAAAGGTTGACATCTGAAAAATTGCATTACTTTGCAGAAGAGAAATTTCTGTCTTCCAGTGAAATTTCAGGTCATAAGGGCAAGTAATTTTCACAATCTTCAATGGGAACCAGTGAAATATGAACTTCATTGTCACCTAGCCCCAAAGCGATAAGATAAAATGAGCTGATACATCATTTGCTGTGGTTTTATCATCTCCTCCGGTAATTGGAAGAGAAAACATAAGAGTCCTTTGCCACCCCCTCTCCCGTTCCTTCACCACCCACACCCAGGCATAAGCCATTTTGCTCTGATCAATACACGGGTCACAGAGTATTTATTTATTTATTTATTTGAATGTTTTATGCTGGGTGAAACTGTCTAGTGGAACATTAAAGTAATTAATATGTTTAATTGAGTTTGTCACCCATGAAAATGCCGAACAGGATTGTATCGCAGACTGTGTGCTCACAGGAGGGACTGGGTGGGAGACTGTTACTGTGTGCCTGTGAATTTCAGTGGCTTATTATTAAATCTGAGATTTGAAGTGAACATCTCCTTGTTCTCTTGAGAAATCTAAGATAAATGGTGATTTATTTAAGAGCATTTGGGTATTTTAAATTACTATTAATCTGTTCTAATTCCCTATTAGTTTGGTTGTACTTGGACATATGTAAACAAAGAACATAGTAAGACCCTTTCTCTGTGAATCCAGAAGTCAGAAACTAAATAGTGCCTGGACAGTAGGATCTTAGGATCCTCAGTTGCAGGGCTGAGCTTGTGGTGGAGAACCAGGTTCCTCATGCACTGAAAGTCGTAACCCTGAAGTGCTGTAATTTTGCTTTCCTGAACAAAAATTACCTGAAATGACAGAGAATGCTGCTAGAAAAATGTATTTATGGATTTTTTTTCTCTCAACTGCAATAAAATGTAAATGCAAATTAAATTATTTTTTATTTTATTTTTTTATTTGATGGTGTTGTGGTGGGTTTTTTGGGTTGGTTTGGGTTTTTTTCTTGGTGTTTGATTTGTTTGTTTGTTGTGTTTGGGTTTTTTTGGTCAGGTACATAATAACTTTTTCTGGAAATATACAAATGTGCATAATTTTTTAAAATAAGCTACTTACTTTTAAATTTACTTGTGGCAGTTAAATTGGCTGGCACATTAAAGTAATATAATTATTCAATTACTGTTTCAGTTCTATAACCCATTTGCAGACTTAAATTACTTCCAACCTATTCACATTTTCAAGATCAATAGCACTTTTCTCTAAAATTAAAAATATGAGGGCTGATTGGTTTGCTTAAAAGGTAAAGCAAAATGTTCATTTAGTCTTCAGTAAAATGTTGCTTCTGTAATTCAGGAGATGTCACCTTTCAACTACTGCAAGTAGTCTTTTACAAGAGACATTGTTTATGATTTACATTCAAGAGAGGGTAAGGTGGGGCATTTGTTTTCAAAGCTGTCAAATGACAGAACAGCTTCCCAGTGAGCATTTGAATATTGGGAAATTACCTGATACACAACTACGAATTGTGAGGGGACTTCTTTATGTATGATCTTAATTGATGATCAGCACTGTGCTGACTTTACATGCAATTCTGATTTCAGAATTCCCTTGAAATGGAAATTGAAGCTGGCTATTTGCTTACTGATTTCTTGGGGAGTTTCTTCCTGCCCTGCAGTGTCAGGGCCTACAGCATGAGTATGAGGACTGATTACAAATTTAGACCTTCATTTCTATTACATGAAGTAAAGAAGGGTCTTCACACAAAGGTGGAAGTAATTTTGTCTTTTTAATAGTGTATTCATGCTGTCTGTTCATCTGGTGTTGCCAAAGCCTAGTCACAAAACAGTTCATTTAATGAGATTTTTGGAACTGTAGAACTTTATAATTGGTTCATTTGTTTATTTTGCATATTTTTAAATGAAACTGTAAACTGTATAAATGGTCTTTCCTCCTATAAAGTGCAGTATTTTTTTGTAAAAAATGAAATGGACAGTAGACTAAACTTCAATCTGATGTGTCGGATCAACTGAAATTCTATACATACTTTTTCATGTGGGTGAGGTGGTACTATTTGTGCAGGTTAAATGAGATTGTACACCCTTATTAGTCTTTGCTCTACAAGTTGTTCCGAAACTGGTGGTAACAAAAGGCAGAAATAAATGAGTAATTTTTAAACTCAACAATATTATGAAAAAGACAGTTGCTCTTAAATTCTTAAGTAGAATTCTGAGTTGTATGACTTATGGGTGATAACAGGCAAATGCAATAATAGTTTTTAAAAGTTGTAATTCTGATAGTATCAGAAGTGATTAAAAAAAAAATCTTTTTAACAAAACCCTCTGCCAGAATAAAAATGCTGAATTTAATTTGAAGTACGAGTCAGTTTCTGTAATTATTCATAAAATCAGATGTTTGACAGGGAGTAAAAGGTTGAATTGGATTTTCATAAGGAATACTTAGTAATACACATGAAAGAAACATGTTTGTCTTCTGGACCTTTCATCTACTATAGGTGGTGTGATGAGCGCAGAGCAGTGGTAATGATGCAGTTTCCATAGCAACTGGTTCATTGGCGGGCTAGACCTCTGTCTAGGGTGCTGTCAGTGTGCCTGGAGTTTCAGAAAACAGTGTCCCAAAGAAGGTCTGCTTCCACCTAATCCAGTTTTAATTGAACTCCAGAGACTTTGAAGTGAAGCTGCAGACCAGGCAGACACTATTCCAACTCAAAATGAAGGCCTTGCTCGGCTAGACCTCAGCTGCTTCTCACTCCTGATAACTTCTGTTAATAAGTGGTTTAAAGAATTGTTATGGTGGTGACTGGTAGCGTTTCTGCAGTGCAGTTCCAGTTTCAGCTGTAAATCCTGTTACACTGGATTCGATAACTGTATCATGGCTGTACAATGTAAACCACCCCTGCTATTTTCAAGTCGGTCACTTTTCCTTGCAATTTCAAAGCTTTTGCCCATGGGCAGGGTTTCCACTGTCACAAAAAACACTCTCTTAGTGGGGTAAAAGTAAAAATTCTTTAAGTTGCTGATTTCAATCACAGTATCCATGTGATATATGTTTGAATTTGCAGTGCAGAGGCTGATAGTGACAAGCAGGCTTTTGTGTTTTAATTGTTACTACAGAAAAGCAGAGATCATCACATTCCTGTCTTGGGAAAAAAAAAAATAAAAAAAAATTGAAATTAAAAGCTTCAATTTAAAGTTCATAAGATGAAACAGTACTAAAATTTTTTTTTGTACACAACCAGCCCAACTTTGTCTCCTTTGTTACATCTTTTGATGTTATGCTCTTTAACATGTCGCATATTTATATGCGACAAAAACACGTAAACGTGACAAAAAGCCAACCTTGGTGCTTCTGAATAGGATCATAGAATTATACAGATCTGCCAATTAGGGTGGATGGGTTGTGGATGTGGCATGGAGAGTGTCAGCGTGGCCCAAGTCTTTTAGTTCCCTGGTTCCACAAATGATTAACAACCATTGATCACATTTCTAGAATTTTGTATTGGAAGAATTGCTTTTGTTTTGGTTTGTGTTTTTTGTTTGTTTGTTGTTGGTTTTTTTTTGGTTGGTTGGTTTTGTTTTGTTGGTTTTGTTGTTTGGTTGTTGTTTTGCTTTTCTTTCTGTGTGTATGTGTGTGTGTTGGGACAGAAGTTGTCTGTATTGAGGGAGAGATGAGGGATTAAGTAAAAAAAATGGACGGGAGATGGTTTGCTTTATATGGTCCAGTATTCTGTAATACCTGCTTTTGGTTTGCAAAGATGGTACAGTATTTTATACTGTATTGCTCGGTGCTTTTATAATGATGCTTGTGCTCTGCTACAAAAATGCAGATTATTTGTGAATATATGCTACGCATGAGGCAAAATCCTCCTCTCTTAAAAATCTAAAAAGAAGTGATTGGGCTCACTAGCAGTCTTTCTTACATTAAAAGCTTGAACTTCACATTTTCTTTTTTATACGCAATATATTGCTCAAATGAAATTGCAGTAGGAGTGATGTAAAGTAGGGTTATATCTGAATCTCCTTTTCTATGATGGATTTCTGCTAAATGCTTGCTAGAATTTGCAAATCTCAGATTTTCCTTCGCTTGTGGTTTGTTAATCAGAAGCAGAGAAGTGTCCAATCTTGCTGTCCCTTAACACTTACGTAATTAAGCTTCAAAATGAAAAGAGAAAAGTGAAGCAACAAAGAAACAAAGTGGCTGAGGACTCAAAATGGGATTAGTGTGAATTGTGAAGGCAGACTAAGCATCTGTGTCTGTCAGATGGGATGACAGGAATTGTAACAAGTTACTTTGACAACCGCTTACTCCATAGAGAGATTTTGCTGAGTTCATTTGCAGGTTTGTGTTTAACCTTAGCTGACAAAATGATACTTAACCTCTTATACAGCCAACCTTTATAGTTCCAGAATTAATGAATGTTGCCTTAACGATAAACCTAAGGAACATTTTTTTTCTTTAAAGACATTTTTTTCTTGTTTATTTGTTACAGGTGTGTTATTGCAATGCTAAAGTGAGTGCAGATACATCTAATGGCACTAGCAATATGTTTCAGAATATGTTTTTATTCTTCGTTGAATTGCCAAAGATTTCACAATTTTTCTGAAAGTCCCTTGAGTCCCTTGTTTATGGAAAATAGGCAGTTGTCTTTACAGGAAAAAATACAAGCACATTTTAAAAATCCTTGATATGAATAGTTGAATTAAGGACCTCAAAAAATTCATGGCATGATTTGGAGTATATTTTAATTATACTGCAGGTTTGGCATGTAAGTGGTGGAATCCGTGTTTGTGAGTCAAACAGTTTTGTTTTTCCAATATGTTACCTATATTGACAACATATTAAAAACATTCTCTCTGTGTCTCTTCCTACTAGATTCTGGCATATACAGAAGGACTTCATGGAAAATGGCTCTTTTCAGAGATCCGATCTATCTTTTCCCGACGTTACCTTTTGCAAAATACAGCACTGGAGATATTCATGGCAAATAGAGGTACCGTGAGTTTAGAGGAGTGGCAGATGTCAATTTGGGGATATGTGTGTTCTGTTTGCTGTTCAGTCACAATTTTTTTGGTATGGATTTGTGTAGATGGTAGAAGGGCTTGGATTAAGTGTCTCAATATTTAAGTTAGTGTATTTTTGTAATTTTCATTTTTTTCCTATGAGGAATGATAATCAAACATGATAACAGAGAATTGGCAATGCCTCACTTTCACATATATCTATGTATTTATTTGGCATTCTCTGTAAACTCTTGCTTAAGGCGTTCCTACCTCTGATCTGCACAAAGGGTTTTATTTTGTCCCTTTGGAGGGTTAGTAGTTGTTAGTTATGCACACCAAGAACAACAAAATGACAGAACTTCACTAATGGATTAGATGAGTGACTGGTTTATCTTCATGCTTTATTTCTGGTAATAATTTATTTCAGTTAGAACCTAGTGCAGCTCCAAGAAATAAATGTCTGTTTACCTTGGTAATTAATATTTTTTTTTTCAGCCTCCCCTTTCTTCAGTTCCTTTTTCAGACACACATACTTACTGTGACAAGTTACTCAAAATTCAGTGTGTTGATACTTGGAGAACTTTCTTTTGCTATTTTCTCCCCCTAAATTTTATTTTAAACCAGGTTATATGAAGTCTTTGCAATTTAAACCAAGTTTCTTCAGATACTTTTAGTGCTTTTATACTGAAAATGAAATTTTGAAAAAAAAATTTAAAAACTGTATCTGAAGATGCCAAATGAATAAAAAATGTAAAATATTGTTTTGGTTATGATACAAAACATTGTTGTCCTGAAATTGGTAAATATTTCATAGGATAACATGTTTTATGCAGTTATTATGCTAGTCAAAAAGATTTTGTCTGAGCTTAAAATCTCTGTTCTTGAACATGCCTGGTAAATATTATGACACATGTTTCACGGAGCATTGTTGTGCATATCTGAAGTTAATGTAGTCTAACAGAATATTAATCATATGCATAAACACATTCCTATTTTGGAGCCTGTATTCTCTGAATGTCCACTGAAGATACCATAATTAAAGTGTTATTTAGATTCTTAGGTTGCTATTTCATAAGCATCACTGAATGTTTCAAAATATGAAAATAGTATTTTGAAGAATATATCTTGTAAAAATATCTAGAACATAAACTAGTAAGGGTATGATCCATTTAACATATGCATTTTTAAAATAAAGTAAGTTCTAGACAGTCAGTCTGTGCATATAGGTTTAACTTCTATTCAGAAAGGAAAACAAATATATTGTAAGCTTTTTAACAGTGGAAACTTCTACTGAAATTCCTGTTAGTGATAAATGAAAGCTGTTCTGGAATTTAAAAAAAAACACCAAAAACAACAAAACCAAACCAACCAAACAAAACCCCGCAACAAAAAGACTATAGTAACCTGAAGGAAGCATGTCTAGTCTTTTAGTTGCTCAGCACCTAAACTTAGGGTCAAATTTCACTGGGCCAGAAAGTCTAAGAGAGAAGCTGTAAAATCATGTCATGTTTCTGCTCTTGTGTTCACAGTGGGTGTCATGTTCAACTTTCCTGACCAAGCAACTGTAAAGAAAGTGGTTAACTGTCTACCTCGGGTCGGTGTTGGTACTATCTTTGGACTACCCCAGACCAGGTATTTTGCAATTTGAATTAACTTTATCTGTCAGTTGTAAGAGTTCTTAGCTCATCAAACCAGCTCACATGGTTTGGAGCATTTACATCTACTGGTTTACAAAACATAAGCATCCTCAGACTATCACTTCTGCATGCACACTTTTGCATGTATTTGTGTAATAAAAACTTTGTATTTTAGAGTTTTTTTGTGATTTCTGTCTATTATAGGGATTATAGCTTCTTTTTGACAGTAAGACTCGATCACTTACCCTGCTTAAAGGAAAATAGGTTTCTTTATGCTTGCCATCTCACTAAAATTTAAGACAGATTTAAGACTGGTTTTAGGACTGATTAGTTTTTATGGCAGTGTTCAGATATATTACCTTGACTGTATCATCCTTGAATCCTCTGTAGTATTTAAATGTAGATGAAAATGATTGTTTCTTATCAGAGGGATATTGTAGTGATGTGAGAACAATATAAGTTGGAGAGCATGTGAAGCATTGATACAGTGTGCTTGTCTATTAGCTCTGGAAGACACTGTTCAAATTTCAAATAGTGAGAAATCAGTATTACAACATCACACTGTGTGTTTGGATCCTGAAACTGAGCAAACAGAAGTTTTTGAGGTATATCATAACTCTAGTTGGATTGGTTACCTCTTATATTTTATAATTATAAACTAAGCAGATTAATTTCTATTTTTTTAAGAAAAAAATGGCAACCCTTAAGGAATATCTTCATTGCTACTACTTTAATTTTTAATTTTTTTAAAAGATATTTTTCTGCGCAGAAATGGCATTAAAATAATTGGGGATGTTTTCTGTTGTGTTTTGTAATTTACTTTTTTTGAGTCCTGAAAAAATTATCCTGAACTGCACTTATAGCTACTCTGTAAGAACTCAGTATTGCTATTTACAGAAGAATATTGCATGAACATTTTCTAATATATGTGAAAGTATAGACAGATATGTATTTTTTTAATTTCACATAAATTGATATAGATTAACTTGTTTACATTGCAATGCAGTTTATTAAAATTAAAAAAATAAATAAATTACTGTAACTGTTTTCTTTAATAGCTTACCAATACCAAAAAGATTTGTTAACTGAAACTACATACAGGGTTGTTGTTTTTTTTCCAGTAGTGGTTGTGGTCCTGGTATTTACAGATGTCTGTATTATGAACAGAATAGTCTTGGGAATTCTATGATAAGCTCTTCTTTGCTTGATTTATCACTCCAAGAAATGACTCTCTAGTCTTCTTCCACCAATATTAAGAAATCTGGCATCAAATTCTGGAAGCTTAATTGAGTTATTTATAACTAACTCCCCAACACTACTCAGAATTTAAATCTCAAGAGGATGAACTTCATAATGACGTTCTATCATCTTATAATTGTTTTCCTTTGTTCTTGAGGGATTAAAAAAAGCTCTGCTAAAAGATGGTTTTAGTCTTATGTGGAATTCTAGAAGTCATGTATTTCTATAATTTAATGGTCTGCCATTTCTTTAAATCACTAGTAATATATTTCTGTAATACATCAAGCCTTCATGGAGCAGCTGAATTTGCACAGCTGTAAAGGTTTTTGAAAGCTTTCAAATCTTGAGATATCCAGCTGTCAGATGCTTTAAGTTTTTTCTTCTTATTAGCTTATAAAACTTTAAAAAAAATAATTTCAGGTATTCAGAATAAGAATTTGGTCTTCAGAGAATTCTAGCATAGAACTAGTAAAAAGTATTGGTACAACTACCACTAATACTCAGGTAGGTAAAAAGGAACACCCATCAGGTCTGGTCATTATTTTTTCTGATTACTTTTTTTTCAGACGCATTTCTTTGGCCAGTCCACGACAGATTTTCAAAGCTTCCAATATGACCCAGCGATGGCAACACCGAGAAATTTCCAACTTTGAATACCTGATGTTTCTAAATACTATAGCAGGTATCACAAATATCTTTAATGACTCAGAAAAGGAGTTAATGGTGGCACAATCTCAACAGAAATGGGGCACTACTAGGTTTTGCCCTTTAAATAATAACTTTTTCTATGTACGGTTCCCTTCTGAAGAACAGCCTCACAAAATCCTCCTAAATGTACTTTATTGATAATTATGTTTATGCAAGAATAAGAGTAGCAAGAAATTAATAACACATGTAATTAATGAACTGCACTTAAAATATATCTCCAAAGTCAGAATATCTATGTATATATATGTATGTTGGTGTAGATAAAAAGTGTTGTGCCTCGATCACCAGTGCTGCTGTGCCAGGACACCAGTTCTCAGAATCATCCATCCACAAGTCCTAATTCATGGTTTCCAAACTCCTCATTCTGTAAATACTAAGCTGTATTTCATTTAAGGCATCTTATGCTATTATCTTCTAACCAACTTGACTTCACTTTAGTAAATGGAGGCTAATAATTAGGTCTTGTGACCTCTCTTATTTTCCAACATACTTGGTTCTCAGAGCAACTTACAAAATTCTCAATTTTCAGCTCTTTTCTATGGTATTGGCAGTGCTGAGAGGTCCGTTAACTCCCTTTCAGACTTAGCTTTTGCTAACACACTTTATATAACAAATGCCTCTGCTTGTACTAATTACATTTTGTACAAATGTTCAGTTTTGCTAGTTTCTGTAATCAGTCATTAAGTCAGACATGCCAGGATACTGGCAGATTTTATAAAAGCAGCGGCAGATCTACTTACCTCTTTACTGCCTAAATGGAACGAGGCAAGACCATAACACTGTTTTATGTGGCTCTAGTGAATGATCCTTTTCTGCTTTAAGATATGACTGAAGTAACAAAAGCCATTCTTACTGATTGGTATTTGAGGTTAAAAAGAACAAGAAGATAACGTCATGGGCATAGAGAAAGTTGAATTGTTCATGATGGGGAATTAAAAGATTGTGTATGTATGATATATGATTATTCCAATTGAATTTTAATATTTTTTTTTTACTGGAAGAAGGCTATTATTTCCATCTTACAGATGAATGAAGGTGCATGTGTGAACCTGAAAGTAGAACAGATTTTCTGTTCTGGTAAATCTTGGCAAATCCATAGATGATCAATGGTCAAGGAAGAATTCCCCTCAAAGTGAATCTCTCGGTGAATTGGTTATTATTTGCGTAATTTCTCAATCTAAAATCCTGAGCTGCTTCATTCTGCTTTCACATACAGAATTCAGTACAGTATGTAAAAATATTGCTTTGATTCTTAGTATGAACAAAAGTCAGTGCCTCTCCATTTTTTTGAAGTGTTCAACCTTAAAGAAACAGAAGAAAATACGACATAAGAAGGAAAGGGAAAAAGCATAGAAAATGACTGGATTTAACTGTCACCGTTTGCGAAAGAGTTTACAATTGAAGGGAAATATTTTAAACTAAACACTAGCAATTTATGAACTTTTAAGTTATTCTTTTCAAGAAAGTGAAGTAGAATGTTGAAATTATAAAAGACATTACAGATCAAGAGCTTGCAAAGTTACATTGTTTTATCTTTAGAGGTTATTTTAGTTAAAATATGACTTTTAACTCATGGCACATTTTTTTTGGTTATTGTTTGTCAGGTCGAACTTACAATGATTTAAATCAGTACCCTGTGTTCCCTTGGGTTATCACGAATTATGAATCAGAGGAGTTGGACCTTACACTTCCTAGCAACTTCAGGGATTTGTCAAAGGTATTTGTGATCAGATACAGTTTTTTTCTATCTAGTATTTATCACAGTAGCTTTCAGTCTTGTTCATGTTTTCTGCTACATTTGATACATTGATGTTAAATGCACGACTATTGCAGTGTTTAATTTCTGTATGCATATACTGATAATAGGGATTAGATTGTGGGAAAATAAATTATTGATGTATCCTTACTGCTTCTGATGGTATCAATTTAATAACTGGTAATGGAAGGTGTTCTTAGTTGGACAATATATCTCACATTTAATTGCAAATTTGAATGACGTTAGGAATGTTGAGGCTGCTAGATTAAAAATTAACCAAATAATTCTGTTGAGAATTGTGCTTTTTTAGTAGGAAAGCCTGTGATGCCGTTATGTTTTAAGTACTTTTAAATCATTGCCTTGATTCGCATAAGCAGAAACTGTATTTTTTCACTTCCTCTACCTATCCCCTTCAGGTATGCTCAAGTAATACAGTTGTCCTTTCTCAGACAGACATTGTCACTTTTTTAACATTTCCGAACAGCTCCATTCTGGCAGACTAGCTGCGTGTTTCTAAGGTTCTTTTCCAAACAATCATGTGCAGATGCAATATTATACAGCCTGGTTAAAGCTTTATAGAATGTGATCGTTCTCTTTCAATCTTTTCTAAGAAAGGAATATTTCATTTTACAAAGTAGAAGCATCTCTCATTTTCTTTGCAAAGACTAGGTCCACTGATCATCAAACAGGATCTTTTTCTAAAAACTAGCTATTATAGGAAATGACTGGCATGTGGAGCAATATAATTAGTAGAGCAGGCAAATAATGTATTTTAATTATAGCTTGTTTTTTCACAAAAGTCTTCCATACAAATTGGTAATTTGGTAGAAAAAAAAAAAATCAGAGAAGTAAGGCAGTTGTTAGCAGTTCTTCCTTTCAATTTGCAAGCGATTAAGCTAAACACAGGTCAGTGAAAATATTCAGAAAATTATTTTTTTTTTCCAAAGATTTAGTGTTTTAACCTTAGAAAAGGTACTGTGGAGTTATTGAATATATACGCATGTGTATATACATACACGTATATGTGTATATATATATTTGAAGACTATCAGTACCTTTTGTGTGTGTACATGTATGTACAAATAAAAATAAAGGAATAATGTTTTTAAGTAGAAAGCAGAGATGTACTGAGGTACTGTAATTGTAACATTTTCTAATAGGGTTAATTTAGTTTGATGAAGTCAAATGCGCCTGTACTCAGCACTGGTGGGGCAGCTCCTCAAGTACTGTGTTCAGTTTTGGGCTCCTCACTACAAGAAGGACATTGAGGTGCTGGAGAAAGTCCAGAGAAGGGCAACGAAGCTAGTGAAGGGTCTGGAGAACAAGTATTACGAGGCGTGTCTGAGGGAACTTGGGTTGTTTAGTCTGGAGAAAAGGAGGCCGAGGGGGGAGACCTTACTGCTCTCTACAACTACCTCAAAGGACCTTGTAGTGAGGTGGGGTTGGCCTGCTCTCCCTAGGAACAAGTGAAAGGATGAGAAGAAGTGGCCTCAAGTTGTGATGGGGCAGACTGGATGTTAGGAAAAATTTCTTCACGGTAATAGGCTATCCAGGGAGGTGGTTGAATCACCGTCCTTGCCTGTGTTTAAAAGAGGTATGGATGTGGTGCTTAGCAACATGGTTTAACACTGTGCTTGCTAGAGTTAGGTTAATGGTGAGTAGAGTTAGCTTATGGTTGGACTCGGCGATCTTAAAGTTTTTTCCAACCAGAAGGATTCTGTGATTCTTTAAGTGATGAACCATATGCTTTCCCAGAATGTCTGATTGACACAAACATCTTGCTCTCTAAAAATGTCCCTACTGTTTTGAGTGAATGCCAGCCCTTCCCATATACAGAATAAAAGTCTTTATGCCACACTTGTCTTGCATACAGCAGTTCAAGTTTTGGTTACTGTTAGGCATTTCTAGCTGTTATCAATTCTATGTGGTTTAAATGTTAAACTATGTGTCAGATGATGAATTCGTAGCAAATATCTGAAAAACCTTGCTAATATTCAACTATGAGAATGTTTAAATGTCATGTATATTGTGATATTTTCATTGTACTTTTATTCTGGGGGTATTGCTTCAAAATAAGTGCTAATTATGTCTTGTAGCATGTCTATGCTTTTGCACTGCGAAAGGTTTTAAAAATACTTAAAGATACTTAATTTAACTTTTTACATAGTTTTATAACACTCTTTGAGCAATCTTTTACTTCATTTATTTTCCTTATCCATGTCCAGAAACACACTGCACTTTAGTGCTCCCACTGAGTAAGGAGATGGAAAACTTAGATTTTGTTCTGACAGAAAGGATAGCAGGTCAATATTTTTACTTTTTTGCTACTTTATGAAATTAAAAATGAGGTGTTTTTTTTTCTTTGTTGTTTTTATTTTAATGTCAAGTTAAGGTTAGGTATTATAATGTGTCAAATATGAGTAACAGTTTTGTTAAGATGTTAGCTAGAAGTCCACAGTTAGTACAGATTTAGAGAGCTGCAGTGTATAGGTTAAAACAACTCTTTATTTAAGCAGCTTCTTATGGCACTGTTTTGAACATCAGTCACACAATGATAAACCAAAGCAACTGAAATGGATTGTGGTTAGTATTACTGTCAGCCTGACGAATGCTCCTGACAAATGCCAGGAGTGCACTGCCAGTCTGTTACCCTGTTTTGACTCAAGTGTTTATTTCTTAAGAGCTGACTATGGTTTGGAATGAGTATTACATATTATATTTATAGCGGCATATATTTTATTTATACAACATACACAGTTTCCCACAAGAATGTGTCCCATTTTCTGTGTTAGTTATCTTATTCAAAAGCACACTTTTCCCTTTTCTTTATTCAGTGAAAGCAATAAATTGCAATGTGTTTCTGGACTTGGAAGAGGAAAGAAAGTGAAAAAAGAATACATGGAAAATACTGAGATATCAAAGCATGATTTTATAATCTCTGAAGTTTCTTACAAGGTCTTGGTGTATGCAAGTAGCTGTTGATAATTCTTCTTTCATAAAGCACAAAATTTCTGTAAGATCATAAACTGACACTGCTAGAAGGAAATAATGCCATTCTTAAATACTCTTTTTTCTTCACTGTAGCTGCATGTGTACATAATAATATTTTTATTCCCATTGTTATCATTTTCATGCAGTATTTGCTAAATCATTATCAATTTCATAGTGGCTGTTATGTACATAATGACTTCTTTTCCAGTCAAGTGTACAAAAGCAACAAATAGCTTTCATCTTTAGTGAAGTGAGGTATTTAATTGGTATGTAAGATGCCACTGATATCAAATACACTTGGACAGAAGAGAAGTAGTAGATTTTTTTACTAGGACAAATTAGACTAGTTTTCTTGTTCAAATTTAAACTTCACTGTTGACTGTTCTGCAGCCTGCCAGCCTGAATTCTACTGCAGGGTGCCCATTTTAGGAGCATAAATTCACAGCATATACACATATACACACAAGACTTGTGCTGCATGTTTTCCACTGCAAGGAAACAGTGGGATGGGGATTGAATTTGCTCAGTTATCTCATGTTACCCCTTCACAAAGAGATATAGTAAGTAACACGTTTCGATGTGCACCTATTATGCTTTTTCAGATTTATTTAATAAATATATTTAAAGAAATATGTTGTGTGTAGAGAGGCATTACGATTTGTATAGCCATTCTGTGAACTGGTGCTTTTAATGTAGGAAATGAAAATTATGGTTTATTCAGCTCATGTTCCAACACAAAATCAAAGCAGGTTACTACCAGTTAAAACTGATAATCCTACAGGAACAACTCAGTGTCCTTCTAAGCATAAAGCATGTTCCAAAACTGGACACTAAAAGAAGGTGAGAGGAACAGTGTGAGAACTAGCAATAGTGGATGCCGTGGACATTACTTATTTTGATAGGCAATTACCTCTGGAATTTAGGTACTGAAACCTATGATGCTTGACATTGCTGTGACAAAAGTTGCCACTCTAATTAAAAAGCATTCCAAAGCCGGACAGGGTAAGCTGAGAAGAAAGATTCAAATATTTTTCCTTTCAGGGAAGTTAATGTGAATCCCTGTTTAGAGCAGGACAGCATGGGAAATAAAATACTTGCAACTTTGTATCAGAATCCCTGGCAGTTAAGAAGAGGTTCAGTAGATGTTCTAGAATTTTGGGTCACCTCAAGAAACAATAATAGATCTATGAAGACCAGTCCCTATCTACAGTCAGCCTGAAGCAATGTTATCTGAAAAGGAGGTGTGTTTCTTCATATTTTTTTAGTCTGTTAGAGATTTTAATATATTTAGTATAAAGTATACCTATCAGATGATCTTAATTATCAGATAACAAGATATCACACTTTCTTTGTGAAATGCAACTAGCTTCTTCAAGGAGAGGGTCACTCCATCCTCTCTAAAGTTGTGTGCAGAGTAGGGGACAGTTTAGATAAATCATAACAGGAACTGGTTTATCACCTTGCTGCAGATGTACATTTCATCTCCATACCTGTTTGTGCAAAGGGATTGACAGATCTAGATGTTTGACATAATAATGTTAAAAGCAACTTTTAGTGGAAGGGAAGCGATACTCTAAGCAGTACCTTAATTTTTAGGGATGCAAGTGAGGGTACCATTTAGAAAACCATAAAAGAGCAAAATGTAGCTTAGAGAACAAAGACTCCTTCCCAATCTGTCCTGTTTGAATACAAAGAAAGAGAATAGAAAGGGATGGAGAGAGATGGGCTTGTGATTTGGTCCTTGCTTGTGATCTGAGAACTCAAAAGTCAAGTCCTTCTTAGAAGAAAGTTGTGCAAGAGTAGGAAGTTCTCTTGTTCAAATCTCTGTGCTGTAATTTTAGGACTATGATAGGCTTTCTTTGTTTGGATAAGAAAATCTATTGTAGAATAAGAAGTCATATAAACTGAAGTGCTGAGTTGTCTGTTACATTCCCATGAAAAGTTTTGGTCTAATGACGTAAGTATTTCCC